GTCATTTTTGAACAAATCCGGCCGCCGTCAGGACCCAAACCCACCACCTTCCGACCCGCAGCCGAGCAACTAGCCGTTAGACCATGGTGGCTCCCATTCAGTTAAGCTGCAGTGAATTGTTCATATTTATTACATGTGTAAACTCCTAAACATTCAGTTAAGCTGCAGTGAATTGTTCATATTGTTCATACTCCTAAACATTCAGTTAAGCTGCAGTGAATTGTAAACTCCTAAACTAAATTCAGTTAAGCTGCAGTGAATTGTTCATATTTATTACATGTGTAAACTCCTAAACATTCAGTTAAGCTGCAGTGAATTGTTCATATTTATTACATGTGTAAACTCCTAAACATTCAGTTAAGCTGCAGTGAATTGTTCATATTTATTACATGTGTAAACTCCTAAACATTCAGTTAAGCTGCAGTGAATTGTTCATATTTATTACATGTGTAAACTCCTAAACATTCAGTTAAGCTGCAGTGAATTGTTCATATTTATTACATGTGTAAACTCCTAAACATTCAGTTAAGCTGCAGTGAATTGTTCATATTTATTACATGTGTAAACTCCTAAACATTCAGTTAAGCTGCAGTGAATTGTTCATATTTATTACATGTGTAAACTCCTAAACATTCAGTTAAGCTGCAGTGAATTGTTCATATTTATTACATGTGTAAACTCCTAAACATTCAGTTAAGCTGCAGTGAATTGTTCATATTTATTACATGTGTAAACTCCTAAACATTCAGTTAAGCTGCAGTAAATTGTCCATAACAATCGCATGTGTAAACATCATATAATTTTCTTTTCTTTGCAGCTGCAGAATTGGAGATTCGAGTTCCAACTTTGAGTAAGGATTTGGGGGTTGATTTTCTGTCGATGCAAAAATAAAACTCTTAACCTGCACAGTTCATGGCGACTGCACCCTCAAGGACATCAGAACTCCCTTCCCCTAAACCCTCATCTTTTCTCCCAAACCCCCATCTCCCTGTCCTACAGACTTATTGGCTGCATGTTCCACTTCTGCGATGTCTTTGAGCCTGGGGATTTAAGACAACATAGCTAGTGCCGTTGCCACAGATTGTGCATGTAAGGGTTTTATTTTTGCCCCCGACAAAACTATCTCTCCCCCTCCCCCCTCTCCCAAATTTGACAGAGGATTCGGTTATTTATATGATGGTTTCCCCATTTACACAACACCGGTTGTAGGGCAACTACACTGATAAGTTGGTTGAACTAGTCTATCGTGGTCAAGGTTATGGGTGTGCTGTTGTCTCGCATTGACATTTTTGTTTCCGAGAAAGAGACGGCTTGTAACATAGGCTTTGTCACTCTCTAGGAGGATTGTGTGTTACACTCAGTATCTAAATGTTTTAGACGTGTTAAAAGCTCTGGCATGGTAAAATATACAACACGCTATATAAGCGCGAGGGCGGAATATCCCCGTGACCATGTGTGAGAGTCGGATCGCTCGAGGCCGACCTATAAGATGTGAGGTGGTCAGTAGGTCGTCCAATCAGAAGTGAGCCAATATGTAGCTGTGTGTAAATGGGGAGACCAGCGTCAAATTTACAGAGGATTAGAACCAGGGTCTCCCCCAGGAGAGACCTGTGTTCTTAACATATCGGCCAGTCCTACACTATCCTTTGAAAAAATTGTAAAGAGAGAAAATAACCGCAGAAATGCCAGGTCATCACCCTCCCCCTTCCCCACCTCACAATGATTCAGGGAAAGAAGTTATCCCGAAAAAGCCTCCTGTCTTATCTGATCATTTTCACAAGGAGCTCCTAACAACGCAGGATAATGTCAAAAAATGGCAGAACGGCACATTTGACACAACCACGGCAAAACACTGAACACTTCATCCGAGATCTGTGCCCAGTGGAGAAGCGCCATGTCTGTGTGGTGCTGAACGTGACCGCACGTGTTTTCAGATCGTCAGCGGAGACTTCCTAAGTGCACGGGGCAAAGTTGTCATACTTTCTGCCAGCTTCAGTTTCTACATTCCCTGGCAGCATTTCTTTCTTTCCAAAAAGTCCAATAATTTAGGTGTGTTGGGGTGTGCAATGAACACCGACTGACATTAACTTTAACCCTAATTCCCTTTTATATTGGACTTACCACGAAATTCCCTATAAAATCTCGGGGTCGCCTTGATGGGGTGAAATAAAGGAGACAACCCTATATGTTTATAGTTTCTTATATTTAAAAAAAAAAAAAAAAATATTTATTTGCCATTCATAAGATTTTTTTTCCTCTACCCTATCTACGGGACTCCGAGATTTCGTAGGAAATTCATGGGAAAGTCCAATATATTGTCTGACTGACTGACCGACTTTCTACCCCACGAGGACATCACACAAGCGATAAACACCCGATGACACATTGTGTCACCATGTGGGTGAGGTCCCAGAAACCGCGTTCAGCCTTTATGCCATATTTATGGCCAGGTTATATTGCGGCCCCTGGCAAGAGCCAGATTAGGGCTTCAAATAAGGAAAAATTTCGTCCTAAAAGGACGGAAAGTATTATAAATATATGGTCCAGATATAGCACGGAACAAATGTAAAGCATTAAACAGAATAATCGGAAAGCAAAATTAAAATTTAGTGTCTGAATCAGTAACGTACTGAATTATTGTGTCGCAAAAATGTGTTTGTCTGTCTATTTAGCGGTGTGTTTGTCTGGATGTATGGCTGTGCTTGCCTCTTATCTACATGTTAACGTATCCATCTACTTATACGTCTGTCTGACTGTGTTACACTACAACCGAACGAACCGTGTGTTGAGGGTGGTAAGGTCACGGATCAAACACAAGGGTAGCGAGGGAGAAAAAGTAACAAAGTAAGCATCAGACAGACCAGCCATTGACAAGCCGGCAGGCACACAGAGTTGACTTGTATGTCATGACTGACAGATGGACACGAGTGCTGCCCTGTGGAACACTCGTTTTCACTGACTAGAAACAGAACAAGTGCGAATACAGAGGCCATTTCGACAAGAGAGTTGGACGTATTCATCCGCGACACGTGCCGATGGAGGATTTCAGCTGCTTCCGGTCACCGTCAGCCGGAATCGATACTTGATATGACCTCATATTAGTGTCCATGTTTTTGTGTTTGTATAGAAAGACTTCGTGTTGTCGGAATGTAACAGTCTTCGCTGATTAACACAGCAAGTGGCTTTTATACATACGGTCAACTGGCAAATCGTTTCCGTTAAATCTTCGTTAAGCCAGGTTATCAACAGGGCTTATACCGTCGCTCCCGCCAACACTTCGCACCCACAAACTATTTCTCGTTTGCCAGCTTTATTTTTGGATCTTTCAATATTCTAACTCTGTCTCTCTCTCATTGTCTCTGTGTGTGCGTCTGTGTGCGTCTGTGTGTGTGTGTGTGTGTGTGTGTGTGTCTATGTGCCAATGTGTGTTTCTGTGTGTCGATGTGTGTGTCTGTGTGTGTCTCTCTCTCTGTGTGTGTCTGTCACTGTCTGCGAATGTCTGTGTGTACATGTGTGTATCTGTATGCATATATGCCGTATGTATGTATGTGTGTGTCTGCGTATGCATGTGTCTGTGTTCGATGTGTCTGTGTGCGTCAGTGTTTGTCTATGTGTGTGTCTCTCTGTGTGTTTTCTGTGTGTATATCTGTGTGTGTGCACATGTGTCCATGGGTGTGTCTGTTTGTGTCTGTTTGGGTATGTATGTATGTATGTATGTATGTATGTATGTATGTATGTATGTATGTATGTATGTATGTATGTATGTATGTATGTATGTATGTATGTATGTATGTATGTATGTATGTATGTATGTATGTATGTATGTATGTATGTATGTATGTATGTATGTATGTATGTATGTATGTATGTATGTATGTATGTATGTATGTATGTATGTATGTATGTATGTATGTATGTATGTATGTATGTATGTATGTATGTATGTATGTATGTATGTATGTATGTATGCATGCATGCTGCATGCATGCATGCATGCATGCATGCATGCATGCATGCATGCATGCATGCATGCATGCATGCATGTATGTATGTATGTATGTATGTATGTATGTATGTATGTATGTATGTATGTATGTATGTATGTATGTATGTATGTATGTATGTATGTATGTATGTATGTATGTATGTATGTATGTATGTATGTATGTATGTATGTATGTATGTATGTATGTATGTATGTATGTATGTATGTATGTATGTATGTATGTATGTATGTATGTATGTATGTATGTATGTATGTATGTATGTATGTATGTATGTATGTATGTATGTATGTATGTATGTATGTATGTATGTATGTATGTATGTATGTATGTATGTATGTATGTATGTATGTATGTATGTATGTATGTATGTATGTATGTATGTATGTATGTATGTATGTATGTATGTATGTATGTATGTATGTATGTATGTATGTATGTATGTATGTATGTATGTATGTATGTATGTATGTATGTATGTATGTATGTACGTATGTACGTATGTACGTGTGTGTGTGTGTGTGTGTGTGTGTGGGTGGATAGATGGGTGGGTGGGTGGGTGTGTGTGTATGTATGTGTGTATGTATGTATGTATGTGTGTGTGTGTGTATGTATGTATGTGTGTATGTATGGAGGAGTTTTCGTCTCCAATTAATGAAACAAGGGATCTTGTGTGTCTGAGCGTAGAGTTGTTGAACAGTTCAATCCCAGAAGTGGCCGACCCTACACATAAGTCTTCACAATAAAGACAAATATTGATAAAAATCTCAGCGATTTTTTTAAATCGAATCAAACAGGCATTGAATCATCGAATAATTAATCATGACACGTGACTGCCTGCCATAGTATAAGTATGAATCAGTAAATGTAAGGCATGTCAAAATAAATGGTTGAAACAAAACAAAAACAAAAAATTAAATGTGTCAAAGTATCTTTTAGGCGCTCTCTCAGCGTAAAGGAGAGACAAAATATTTAACTACATATTCCCAGTGTGCATTATGGGGATCCATTGTGAGACTCCGTTGTGGGACTCCATTTTGTGACTCCACTGTGGGACTCCATTGTGGGGTTCCACTGTGGGACTCCATTGGGGAGTTCCACTGTGGGACTCCATTGTGGGATTCCATTGTGGGGTTCCATTGTGGGGTTCCATTGTGGGACTCCATTGTGGGGTTCCATTGTGGGACTCCATTGTGGGGTTCCACTGTGGGACCCCATTGTGGGACTCCATTGTGGAACTCCATTGTGGGGTTCCATTGTGGGACTCCATTGTGGAACTCTATTGTGGGACTCCATTGTGGGATTCCATTGTGGTTCTCCATTGTGGGACTCCATTGTGGGATTCCATTGTGAGACTCCATTGTGGGACTCTAATATGGGACTCCATTGTGGGACTCCATTGTGGGATTCCATTGTGGGACTCCATTGTTGGGTTCCATTGTGGTACTCCATTGTGGGGTTCCATTGTGCATTGTGAGAGTCCATTGTGGAGTTCTATTGTGGAAAAACAGAAATAGGCTTTCTGCCTCCTCTACAAGCGTGTCGTAAGAGTCGATTATTTGTTGCTTTCTTCAAAGTGGGAGTACATCTACCGGAGTAGTACTAAGTCTGAATGAAAATACGTCAGATATGTAAAACGCATGAGCACGCAACAATCAAGGTTTTGGAAGAAGTCCAAAGGTAGAGAAAAGGCAGAACTTCCCGGCGCAGTTTACAACAGTTGAACAAGAAGAAGAACTGTATATATATATATTAAATCTGTAACTTGTGTAGTTCTCTGTGTGGAGCGAAAGCTTTTTATAGAAATATAACGCAGCAACTTCACACTGTACGTGTATTAATGGACCCAGGTTAGGCAGCATCGATTTCCTGTTGGCAGCAGACCCTAATGCTTTATATCACTGGCATTAGAGACCGCCCTGATGTGTTCTGGCAACTGTTGCACTGTGATAAAACCACGTACGTTGTCAGTGTTTGGATTCACAACGGCTGAGAGAATAATCAGAGTAAAGAGTCAAAATAACGTACTTTAGTCAATTTGTGGATTCACAAGAGCTAAGGGGATAAACGGAGTGAACTGAGTCAAAATAACGTACTTTAGTCAATTTGTGAATTCACAAGAGCTAAGGGGATAAACGGAGTGAACTGAGTCAAAATAACGTACTTTAGTCAAATTATGGATTTATTGGGGCTGAGAGAGTAAACGGAGTGAACTGAGCCAGATTACTGTACTTTAGCCAGTCTATGAATTCACAAGAGTTGAGAGAATAAACGGAGTAAATTTAGTCAAAATAACGTACTTCAGTCATTCTATGAATTCACAAGGGCTGAGATAATACACAGAGTGAAGTGAGACAAAATAGCGTACTTTAGCATTCTATGAATTCACAAGGGCTAAGATAATACACAGAGTGAAGTGAGACAAAATAGCGTACTTTAGTCAGTCTATGAATTCATAGAAATAGAAAGAATAACTGGATTCTTCTTTTTCCTAAAGTCCATGCCGTGTGGCGTTGGTAGTCATGTCTATTCACAACCTTCTGTCTCATGTACTTTCAGTTAACTCTGACACAGATGATCTTTCATGTCATGATGTCAAACCGTCCAGCATCTGTTTTCTCAGTCTCCCTCTGTGTCACAACCCTATAAGTACAGTCAGTGTACCACACCGTAAGGTGTGCGTGTTGAGGTGACACCCCAGGGTTGACGCAAAGGTCAGGGCCGTGACTGGTCCAGTCTGTTCTGTTATTGCACGGTGAAACCAGCGCTTAGGATAAAGCGTTTGGCCACGGCAAGAAAGAGTGAACGTTGTTGGAGATAAGTCGACAGCACGATGACCGCGGTTGGGACTGAGCTGGACCGGGGTCAAGAGACACGAGGTGGAAAGAACACAGGAGATTCTGTGTACAGCGGTCAGAGAGAGCAGACGTGTTAGCGAGACAGTGATAGTATATTAGAGTTAAGATATTTCTGTTAGTGACTGCATAGATTATTTACAGTGTTCTGTTAGAATAGGATAGTTTTTGTGTTGTGTATTTAACTGGTACAAGGTATTGTGTTGTTCCATAAGAGGTAAATAGGTTCCAGTTGCTTCTGACTAGTTAAATCGGTTGTGTACATGTTCTGTGAGAGAATGTCTAACCTTGGCACTCTGACCCCGCACTAGACAGAGGCTGTGACAGTTTGGTTAGTCAGTGTGTCGATAGGTAAGAGCGTATCTCGTGCCAGTAGGGGTTTTTGCACCAGGAGATTGCTTGTGGAACGGACTGGAGAGCGAGGCGATTGTAAAGCTCGTTCGGCCAGAGGGTCCAAGCAATAGGTGGCCACACGGCGGGAAGTCAACTGTCTGTTGTATTACCTGTACTTACAATAAAGATTGTCCTGTGTGCTCTGTGTGCGTTCGGGTTCAGTGTGTGTTAAAGGTTAGTTTGTCTGTCATAGGCACAGTTACGAGCCACGGACCAGCAAGGTCACCCAGAGGTCTGTGACACTCTGCCTCTCCTCCCCTCCAGCTTTTTGACAGTCACGATGTACTCAAGTTATCTCCTTCTCCTCACATGACAAGAGAATGTAGATTATGTACACTATAACTGGATTGAACTAAGAAAAAATAAGGCACTTTAGTCAGTCTGTGTATCCACAACAATTCAGAGACTAATCTGAAGGAATGACACAAAGTAAAGTACTTTTTTCAGTTTGTAAGTTCACTACGGTACAACAGACAAACCAACTAGACATTACGTTACAGTATGTTGGCACCTTTCCGTCTTCCCAGACGATACTGTTTTTATTATGCTATGAACGGTCATTGGATTCAGACCCCCACGGAGACGCCGAGTGTGACTAGAAAGATCCGCCCGATTGATTTACTGACGAAAAGTATCAATCATCAAGTCACAATGGTTTCAATGAAAACGGTGTCAAAGCAACTTAGATCCTCAATGAGTAAACTCACCACGGTTCTTTAACATCAGAGTTCAAGGACCAAGTTGAATGCCTTAACAAAGTACTCACTACTGCGGACGCTCTGGGTTACATCCGGACGCCATGAATGAATGATGGAATCACTGCATTCAGAACATCCCATACGTGCTCCGTCCCCTTCTTCAGTAGCCAACGAAGAGTTGACATGCTAATAGTTCCAGCTGTAACCTGATTCAAAAGTCCGCCCCTGTTTCCCCCTCTTTGTTGAATATCTTCCAGAACAACTACACCCCTCCCCCAACCCCGTTAAATTTGTCTTTCAGTGTAATATTTTCTTTTGCACTGTCCGTTTGACCCCACAGATCCTTCATCACTTTCGCTTTATCATGTAGTAGCTCACTGCCCAGAGGAGCGACAGCACCTAATCTGTCAGCCTTCTCATTACATCGCACAGCTGAATATCATGGACATAAAATCCATTTTATGCTTTTGATCTGGGTTTTATCAAGTGATTCAAGCCACTATGTGGATGCAATGAAGTCGAACATCTCAGTTATCAATGTATAGTAGACAACCTCTGTTATTTTTTATACCATGCCACTTTGTATTTGTCATGCACATGACTTGGTTACAATAGAGTCAGAGCAAACCCTGGATATGCTATTTGCCTTCTCATCACTCTTTCATTCTTGTGTTTCGCTCACATGTTGTTACTGGCAGACGTAAGTTGGCGAATATAGCATTCAATGTTTGCATATATATATATATATATATATATATATATATATATATATATATATATGTGTGTGTGTGTGTGTGTGTGTGTGTGTGTGTGTGTCTGTTTGTGTGTGTGAATGTGGTAGCCCTCAAGTCATTTGCAGTTTAGCTTAAAACTCCATAGTTCTAGAGTGCATTACTACTCTGCAGGCGTAAACTACAACAATACGTGCATAGATTACAGCTCTGTGTAGATTACACTCCAAACTTTCAGTAGAGATTACAGCTCTGTGTAGACTACACTCCAAACTTTCAGTAGAGATTACAGCTCTGTGTAGATTACACTCCAAACTTTCAGTACAGATTACAACACGGCCTGTGTAGAATACAGTCATCGCATATACACGAAAACATTGCACCGATTGAAACAAGTGTGCAGATTACAACTCTGCTTCTACAGATTACACCATTACCCGTAAGGGACCCTTTTCCACACGTACTGGGCATACAGGGCAAGACCTATATATTTTAGACAAATCAGCACTCGGTGGGTAAAGTGCTCAGCATCACACTGCTGCCTTTATCTCCAGCGACTTTACCTGCTACACACTTAAGACTGGGTCGACCTGGGTGCCAGGTTAATTTAAAACATGCAGACACAAAAAGGCTGCTTCGTCAGGACCTGAACTCACAACCTTCGGGTCTATAGTGAGAGTCTAGCCCCCATACCACTGCGGCTATTTCCTGTATTGACTGTGATATAAATAAATACTTGCCGAATGCACAAGGAAACGAAAAGCACGACGAGTGAAAGTCTCCCGCTGAACTACTCCATCAAGTGAAAAAATAAACTGTTAAGCCTAACCAAACACAGCTGCCCAGATTTATATCAGATTGCTGGTCGACCAAAGACCTAGACTTGCTAGGACGTCATTGATTTTTGTGTGAAAAGGTTTGAACCTGGGGCCTGAGACCACTCGGCGGGGTCATAGATGCAGCTGCTAGTCTACAGCCACTTCCATCCACACGTGCGGCATAATCTGGGGACGTCATCCATTACCGTGAAACACGTAGCTCTCTTATCTATATTGTAATTCATCATCATTATCATCATCATCTGTTGTGCGCGCGCCAAGGCCTACTATATTATTTGTATACTCTATATCAGTGTTTTCCAAACTTTTCTTAGTCACGGGGCCTTTTTTTCACTTAAAAATTTTTTCCATGGCGCCCTAAACTAACTAAAAGTATTCCTACTCGTATGCAAGGGATAAAAAATGCAACCCCCCCCCCCTTCCCCCCCCCAAAAAAAAAGGAAAACTCGTTTATCTTCGAATATTTCGCGGTGCCCCTGTGAAAAGGTCGAGGCTCCACGGGGCGCCGCGGCGCACAGTTTCAGAATCAATGCTCTATATAACAGAGTTGGAGCTGTACCGCCCGTATGTAATATAGCTTGCGCAGTCTATTCTTCCATTCCGTTCTACCGGATGTTGTCTTTTCGAAATAATGGAAGAAATCTGGCTGGGCTTACTTGGCCTATCTCATGAACGTTTGTCTTAGTTTTTCTCTTACGCCTCCTTGTTTTCTTTCCTATTTCAGTGACTGTTTAGTGATGCTCTGCTACTTCTCCTCGTGATGTGTCAAATACATCGCTTATTTTCTTTGTCTAATAAACATTTACACCAACAGTTAAATGACTTCTCGTCTTCGTCTTCTTCTTCTTCTTCTTCTTCTTCTTCTTCTTCTTCTTCTTCTTCTTCTTCTTCTTCTTCTTCTTCTTCTTCTTCTTTCTTTTCGTCTGTTTCGTCTTT